AATTGTTTAACCAAAAAAATGTATTGCTAAATTCATATAGAATACACATTTTCCAACTCTCAAATACATAGTCGCGTCTATAATGATTGCTTTTTATCAATGTGGATGATGGTAACAAACACATCTTAATAACCCATCTTAATCTGTCGTTGCTTTTTGGAGCATAAAAGGTTATAGCCTTGAAGCTTTTACAATCAAAAGTGGAATGGTTTGGTATAACTCCGTAAGTTGGTAAATAACTAAATATTGGATCCATCAATTTATGCTGTTATTAGATAATTGATTTGTCAGAAATAACTCTCATTGTCTAACCTATGTTGACTTTCATAAGTAATTGAGAGCTCATTTTATCTTAAAAAAAAATTACTTTGCCATTTTTAAAGTGTCTGATTATTATTTATATCTTACGTGATACAATTAGGTGTTTATGTCATACAAAATTTTATTGATAAAATTTATTTTAAAATTGCGTTAACTTTTACGAGACCAAAATGCCGATTTCTTTTTTTCCCGTACAATACACAGGTGTTACACTAGTTTAAGGTAAAGAAGCTGGCCAAAAGGACTCTTAATTCTTAATGTCAATGCCTTCGTGACTTGTGAAATCGTGACTTGTGAAACAAATTTTGATAAGAGTAAAGACCCAAATTGGTCCCTGACAAAAAATTCGGTGTCTAAATTAATCCCTCACAAAAATAAACTCGTTAGATAGTCCCCAACAAAGTGAAACAGGACCCACGTTAGTCCTTCTGTCAATCCAAAACTCACGGTGTCAATGATGGTGATGATGTGTCACATTAAGTGACATGCTGGAGGCCACGTGGTTGAGGAACGACGTCGTTTTGAGAGACTCATACACGTTGGTCAGTATGGTCCCTAACAGTTTTAACAAAGGGGACCCGTATGGTCCCTAACATTTTTATCGGGTTCCTTTTTAGTCCCTGCTAAAGTTCTGTTAACACCAGTGCCAACATTTGCTATTAACACACCAGCAATGTCATTTCCCCTTGTACATGCTGATATTAGTCATGCATAACATAGTCTTTATACATTGTTCCCATTTCCCCTTGTACATAAATATACTTTTTGTCAATGTTATTAACCAAATTCAACTATACAGTTAATAACATTGACATTACAAAAATAACTACTTGCTCTTAGTACGTTCAAGCGGGAAAGACACAAAGACACGCAGAGCCTTCAAATTTCATTATCGACAAAAAGTACGTATGTTTGATTCGAAATAAATTCAAAACAGTACATTACAATTTTCATTCCGTTTATAGCATACGTATTGCTTTTCAATGTAATCAGAATATACCTCGCATATTTATGTTTAAGGTTTCTTAACTCATCGTAGGTTATGGTATTATTAGATCGTGTGAATATTATTTTATAGACTGGAAAATTGCTTATCTTACTTCTAAATCCTACATATATTGTTACTTGAATCTCAACAGAAAATCAAAAAGTTAAAAATATCGCTCATTAATACAGCACAATTTTTATTTCAATTTCTTTGATGATGCCAAATACTTATTTTTGAACAAACAATGAATACCCAACTGAAGAAATAAATCCCTTCAATTTTATTTTATTTTAAATGGAAAAGATTAACTTGGACCCAATAAAAAAATAATTGATTGATTGGTTGGGCTGGATGTATGTGGCATGGTTTGGCTTATAATGTTTAAGAACCTACGAAGAAAGAGCATGTTTTTCTCATTTGGGTTCAATCATACATCTGTTAGAAATAACAGTAGTTTGCCAGTTGTTTTGGCTGGTTGAGATTTTCTAACAGTAGCCTGAACCAAATTCAACCTCTAAGACACTTAGAAACCCTAATGGATTATTTTTTGGGTGCCCCAACTTCAAGGTGAGGTTGATTTTTTCATGCGTTATTTTTGTAATGTCAATGTTATTAATTGTATAGTTGAATATGGTTTAGGAAAAGAAGTCACACTGTAACTTTTTTACATGGGTGGATGATGCTACATCTGATACCATGGAGCTGAAAGATTGGACAATTAACAAGCTGGAGTTGAATGTAGCTGAAATGGAGTTCAAGTTGAACTTTTTGGACATGAAGCTCAATGATGAACTGCAGCTGGAGGTGAATGACCACAAAAAGAAGATTAATGAGCACTGTATAAAGATTGAAGACATATCATTGAAGATGCAGGTAGACTTTGAAAGGGTTGAGAAGGAAATGATGCATGTGTGTAGGTGTGCTAGGGTGTTTGTTGGATCCATTATTGTTGTGTTTCTAGTATGTATATATCTTGCAAGTAGGCTGGAGTGAAATTTAAAATGTGGTTCTGTTGAGATTTGCTGGTGTAATGAATTGTTGTTCATGCAATGTATGTAGCATGGCTTATGTATTTGAAGTTATGTTTATTGGCACAAAATGTTGTATTAACTCGATGGAGATAAAAAAAAGGAATGAGAACAATGTATAAAGACTAAACTAAGAATGTCATGGTGTGAATTATGCAGAAGTTGATTGTGTTATGCATGACTAATATCAGCATGTACAAGGGGAAATGACATTGCTGGTGTGTTAATAGCAAATGGTGGCAATGGTGTTAACAGAACTTTAGCAGGGACTAAAAAGGAACCCGATAAAAATGTTAGGGACCATACAGGTCCCCTTTGTTAAAACTGTTAGGGACCATACTGACCAACGTGTATGAGTCTCTCAAAACGACGTCGTTCCTCAACCCACGTGGCCTCCAGCATGTCACTTAAAGTGACACATCATCACTGTCATTGACACCGTGAGTTTTGGATTGACAGAAGGACTAATGTGGGTCCTGTTTCACTTTGTTGGGGACTATCTAACAAATTTATTTTTGTGAGAGATTAATTTGGGCACTGAGTTTTTTGTCAGGGACCAATTTGGATCTTTACTCTTTTGATAAACAACGGTCCGACTTAAATTGCGTAATAAAATTAAACAAATCGTTTTTAGATAAGGTAAAAAAAGGGATAATGAAATATAATGGATTTGTCAAAGTTCCTTTAAAAGTAATTTTTTTATTTTTAGGTATTTTCAAATCAAGCAGTATGTTGAAATGCTTGATTGCTTTCTCATGTTACAAATAATATTGAACATTCATCATTTTATTTTAATTTTTTGGTATTGTAGTTAGGTGACTTCTGAGATTATTATCGTTATTATTATTATTGCGCTTTATCCATATAATAATAAAATGGTTTACCTGGACATGAGGGGCAAATTGGTCACCAACTAAACCAGCTTATTCAAATTTCAAATTGTTTATACGCTTGGTTGTCAACAAAGACAAATTTCAAAACATAAAATTGCATTAACAATTTATCATCTAGAAATTGAATATATGTTGCTCTTCATAATATGTCCTACCACTTTTTTTAATCTAACTTATTTAAATAAAAGAGGTTTAGTATCTTTTGATTGAGCACTTCTGTTCTAGTCAATAATTGGTAGTAAACTTCATACAAAAAGATACGGTTGTTTACATTATCCTCAATCTTTATGTTGAAATTTACCTAAGAACCTTATATCAGGTCGTTGAAATATTTTCTTTCTACATCAACATAACATTATCTTTATTTCAAATTAATTAAGATTAGCCCGCAATAAACTTGAATAAAAAGCAAAAACAAAAATTGAGAAAAAAAATATTAAGTCTTGTTCTCCAACTCCTCCACAACGAAATTTTGGTTGACCTCTTCCTCTTTTAGCTTGATGTTCTTAGTAACAAACTTCTATTCAAATAGGAGCATGAAGAGGTATTCAAAGTAGATGCCCAAATAATCTCACATAGGAGCATGAAGGGGTATTCAAAGTAGATGTCCTCTTCTTCTTTTCCCTTTCTTTTTTACTTTATATATATATATATATATATATATATATATATATATATATATATATATATATTACTATTTATTTATTTATTTTTATTTTTATGTTTCTTTTTTTCAATCTTTTTGTATCTTTCATTTGGATCATCTACCACCGATCTCAATTAATTTGGAATAAAGGTCTTGTTGATGTTGATCTTTTTATCCACCAATATTACTCCTATCTTTTGTTAGATATCTTTATTTCTATCTTATTAATTCTTGTACGACCATACATCCACCTTAACCTTCTCATTTCTCCTACTCTCATTTTATACTTATGCTTCTTATTTGGTGGCCAAAATTCAACTGCAGGTCTTATTGTTGTTCAATAAGAGCTTCCTTTAAGGTTCAATGGTATCTTGAGATCACACAAAAATCCTAATACATCTCGTCATTTCATCTGATCTCCTCTAATTTTATAATTTACATCCTCATTGATCTCTTTCCCTATTTGTAATATTGATGCCAGATATTTAAAATCAATCTTCTTAGGTATCTCTTATTATAGCATATGCACAAAATCTCAATCTTCCCATCTACCTGTAATAAACTCACATTTCTTATACTCAATCTTACTTTGACTTAACATAAATCTTTTGGACTCTAATACACTTCACCACAATTCTAATAACACAATATCATATGTAAATAACATACACCATGACACCTCTTCCTCCATATCTTTTATTAGTTCATTCATAATTAGAGCAAGAAAATATAAACTCAATGCAAAACCTTGATGAAAATCTTCATTGATTGGAAAAAAATTTGATGTTCCATTACAAGCCTTCAGCCTTCCTAAATGAATAACCCCATCACACGTTTTTTATTACCTCCAGATACTTTACCAGTACCCTTTTCTTCTCAAGAACCCACCACACACCTTTTTCCCCCCCTTTCATATTGTATAAATTTACTGTTGGCAGTCAAGTACAGTTGAATAGGTAGAGTTGAGGAAGAAGTCTAGGGTTTGATTCCTTTGTACAAAATAACAAAAAAAAAACTTTACCCGGATAGAAATTATTCAAACAAACCCGAACTCCGTCCCTCATAAACAGAGGCATTAGTCTTTGCGAATGCATCCCCAAAAACTACACATGTCCGCCATAGATTAAAAATAGGACTAGAGTGGGGGTTTAATAAACGTCATAAATGTAGTAAAACCATCCACATTCACATACAATGCTCTCAATTATCGAAATATTAGAAAGCCAGATCAGTGTACATATGGTAAACTGTATATTTAAATTATCAACCACAACCACTAAAGGAAGGGAAGCAACATGCAATCATTTAAGCAGACAATAGTTATGTGCTCTAATGCCATTGAAATACAACTTCATTCTTATTCAGTGGTCAGTTCTTTCTTCCTTCAGATAAGATAATATGGTAGCCATGCCTGCAACATCATCCAAGCAAACATTAGCAGGCCTACCTAAATGGAGAAGAGAAGGGGCACAGGTTCTAATGTGAGGATTATGAATTGGGATAATAAGAATTAGAGAGCAAGAGAAATACGTTGATTTAAAAGGAGCACTAGTAGCTCCAATAGGTGTGTTGAAGGCAACATCCTGAAAGGGCCCAGCCATCTTTCCTCGTGGAAACCATCCTAGGTCTCCACCCTTCTTTCCTGATGGACATTCAGAATACTCTTGCGCTACCTGCGAGGTCAGTGAAATAATATTACTGATGATAAACAACTGAAAAGACAAGATGTTTATATCTCTAGATTTATTTTAAGTGAACAGATTCTTATTTCTCCTCCTTTCCAACAAAATCCCATTGATCAAACTTCACGTTACTGACAAAGGGTTGTGGGGGGCAAATAACCCCCACTATAAATAGGAAACCAAATAAGGATTTTAAAAGAGAAAGAAGAACAAAAATCAATGCATGACTTCCAAAAGAAAAATACCTTTGCAAACTCAGCTGGTGGGACCTTATCTCCATTTTCAAGCCAACCATCCTGCAGCTTCTTGTATGCCTCGTTGATCTTACCTTGTTTCTCACATAAGATATGCCTTGCTGTGCAGAATAAAAAGCCAAAAAAAATAATAAAAAAATTGCCATTCCAATACAGGAACAATGTAAGAAACTGATCATATAATGATAGCGTTACCATGGATGGGGAAAATTTTCTACCTTTGACATAGGTGCAAGTACCAAGCCCATCTGCACCTTTCGCACCTTTTCCTTTGCCCTTAGAAGCATTTTCATCACTTCCACTTGCTGCCTGTTTTCCCTTTCCCTTCCCTCCAGCCTCCTTTGACTTTGCGTCTTTTCCCATGGTTCTCACAACTTAATGGTTTCCACTGAATAAGCAAAGCAAACATTTATAGATTACAAAAGTGAACCAGTAAAAGTCATGACAAATGGAAACTAAATATAAACAAATCAACAAGGATGATACAAACAACCAAAGTGAAGTAATAAATATAATTCTAGAAATTCCACCAGAATTACATATAGTGCCACATATGCTGATTGGAATTTCATTTTAATATTTTTGGGATAAAACAAAGGATATATTAAGAGAAAGAAGTACAAAAATGGGGGATAAGAAATCTACCCTATAGAAATCACAAAAGAAGAAATGAAAAAAGAAAGAAAGAGAGTGAGAGTAAATTAGCTCAAAAGATACCCAACCCCCCAACAAAAGAAAAACAGTAATAATAATCCATCTGCTGCACCCACATTGAATCATAGGAAACAACTCTATCCCATCTATGCCAAAAAGATGAAGGGGGTAGGAAATTCTGAATAAAGACACTTGCATTGGTAATTCGTAAAGACCATAACCCCACACAATACAGAAATTGAATTCAAGAGTTCCAGACAAACACATTTCTCCTAACGTGCATAACAGAAATGAATCTAGTTATATCTATCAAACTAACAAACACACACAGTTACACATACACACTAAGGCTACACATGGTGGAAGCGAAAATGGCTCAACCTGTCTAAATTTCACACCTTCTCATTCTCAGTTAAAGTGTTTAACCAAGGGTGGCCTAAAACAAGGAAATAGCTGACACAAGAACAACACAAGTGAAAGCTTAACTATTTACAGGATTTTAAAGCAAACTAAAAGAATTATACTAACATACCAGGACATTATCATAATTGCTAACTCAACTAAGACAAATTAATAATCATCTAGCTATCCCAAAAAAACAAGGCTTTCTAGGTGTCAGTAACTGTTAATACTTCAAAAAGAATTTAAAAAAAAAAAAAATTGCAATCCCAACCCATCAATATGAACCTGGAAATTAAAAATTCATGTTAGGTATCAGAAACAAAGAACAAATCAAGAGAAACTAATGATTTGGAACAAAGAAGTAAACAAGAACCTGAGATTTTTCACCTCACAGCACAAATCAATACGAAAGTCGCAAACTGAGATAAACGATGATGACTCTCACTTTTGGAGAATCGCATTCCATTTCGCTTTTTTCTTCCCTAAGCAAGAGATCTATTGGGCCACTTTACAGAACATATAACCCAGGCCCAATTGAAAACATCACATTTTTTGTCACTACTATTAATTATTGGAAAAAACATATGTATTTTAAAGTATATAAGCTTATATCATTTTAGATCTTAACTGTTAATTTTTGTCCATCAACGGTTATAATTTATTAGGTCAAATTTAATGGGCCAAATTTATTATTAATTAATAATTTTGATCCAATAAATTGTAACCATCGATGAACGAAAATCAACGATTAGAATCTAAAATGATATAAGCTCATATACTTTAAGATGACAGATGTTATTCCCTTAATTATTATTAAGTTAAAAATATTTATTTATTTTTTATAAAAAAAATTTCTGTCATTCTCACATAAAAGTAAATAGATTATAGTAATTTTTTCTTTCACTTCTCTTTACAATGAGACTCACTTACCTTTATACGAGTGTGACAATTTTTTTTAGCAAAAAAACAGAAATATTAAACCCTTATTATTATTGTTATAATTAATAATAACTATTTACTTTTTACAATAATTACAATTTGTTTATAAAATACAATTAATTAAAATTCTATATGAATAAAATTAATTAAATGAAAATAATATAAATTATTATTATTATTACTATTTAATAAAGAGTGTGAATAAATAATCACGAGAGAAAATAATTTTCTGTTTCCCTGTTATTGATGTATTTTTTTTTCTTTTTCATTTTTTTCAATCATACCCAAGTCTTGACTCTTCTTGATGCAGAGAATCCAATTTCTATTACAGGATGAACTACAAAATGATGAAGAAAACTTGTTCAACCACCATCTGTACAGAATTTTGTATAAACGAATTAGGATGTAAAAATTAGTTTAGTAATTTGGCACTACAACAACTGGGCAAAAAAATTTAATTATTGCAATTTAATTAAATAATTATGCAAATATGACAATTTGAGAAATATTAACAGATATATTACACACTGTGATGTATTTTTTGGACGTCACATGTGACGCCTCAGTGAGGCATCTCTCGTGAAAGAGAAGACGTCTCAATAAAGCGTCACATGTGACGCACAAAAGAGACGTCAGAGTTACTTGGGCGTCACCATTTTACACTAATAAGACTGTGATCGATGATGTTGATTGGCAACCTAAAAAGTCTAATGAATGTAAGAATGCGTACTACTGCAAAGCTTCTACGTAAATGTGAGAAGATATTTGCATATTTTTCCATTCGTCAACTTTAAATTCCTCGTTAAAATTTTTCTGCTTTCCGTATAACTTCCTCTTATGCATATATTATTCTTTATAATTTATTAGTTTTATGTCATTTTATCATCTATTCATTTGATTTTTTTAGTTTGTTTTAATTTGTTACCTTAATTATTTTATTTTTGGTTTATGCAAAATATCATTAACCACTCGTTAATTACAATTTCATCCAGACATAGAAAAGATAACAATTAGAATCTTATAATTATTTGTGAATTAATTGTTTGCCTATTTGCGTGAGATCTGTTTCACACAAGCATTGGAGTATGTCGATATGGAGGTGATATATAAAACTGTTTTTTTTTTTTTCAATTAATGAACTGAGTTGATTTTTAAAAAAAAAAAAAAAACTTTACTTTATTGTTCGTACACGATTGTTGTATAAAATCAATTAAATCAATTCAGTGTAAGTTACGATCTGTTTCAACTAATTTGGACTAGTTTATAACTAATTTTATAAACTGATTCGAAAAATTAAATCAATTCAGTTCTCTAAGTTAAATTATGTTTTCCAATTCAATTCAGTTCATTAAAGAAAATCAGGACGCACAGTGTCGCACACTCTGAACTCTGTTTTTTTCCTTTCGAGTGTGGGGTATGATATATTTTTAGGAGGCGTTTCGTACGAGAGATATTTATTTTAACCGAGAAAAAAAGATTGTTAGGGATTTAGTAGAAATTTTTTTATTCAGGTTAAGTTACAAAAAAGTGTTTGGTTGGACAAAATTTTGCAGAAAAAGTTGAGTTAATTTGACTGATGCTATGTTTGATTGATGGTAAAATATTGATGGGAATGTGAATGAAATTATCAAAATACCCTTAATTTTTGTTTCTTATTTTTCTTTTATACAACAATCGTGTACGAACAATAAAGTAAAGTTTTTTTTTTTTTGAAAAATCAACTCAGTTCATTAATTGAAAAAAAAAAAAAAAAACTGTTTTATATATCACCTCCATATCAACATGCTCCAATGCTTGTGTGAAACAGATCTCACGCAAATAGGCAAACAATTAATTCACAAATAATTATAAGATTCTAATTGTTATCTTTTCTATGTCTGGATGAAATTGTAATTAACGAGTGGTTAATGGTATTTTGCATAAACCAGAAATAAAATAATTAAGGTAACAAATAAAACAAACTAAAAAAATCAAATGTGTTATCAAAAAAAAAAAAAAAAATCAAATGAATAGATGATAAAATTACATAAAACTAATAAATTATAAAGAATAAGATATGCATAAGAGGAAGTTATACGGAAAGCAGAAAAAATTTTAACGAGGAATTTAAAGTAGACATGGAAAAATATGCAAATATCTTCACATTTACATAGAAGCTTTGCAGCAGTACGCATTCTTACATTGATTAGACTTTTTAGGTTGCCAATCAACATCATCGATCACAATCTTATTAGTGTAAAATGGTGACGCCTAAGATAACTCTCATGTCTTTTTTGGGCGTCACATGTGACATTCTATTGGAGCGTCTTCTTTTTCATGAAAGACACCTCACTGGGACGTCACATGTGACGTCCAAAAAATGCATCACAGTGTATAATAGATCTGTAAATATTCTCTAAACTGTCATATTTACGTAATTATTTAATTAAATTACAATAAATAAATTTTTTTGCTAGAACAACTAAGAAATGTTACAGAAACTTCAGTAAAAATTAGCATAAATTGCTTTTAAACTCAAGAAATTTTTATTTTACATGCGCTTGATGCTCATAAAACAGCAAGGAAAAATCAACTGAAAGTGGACTATTAAAATGATAAAAAAAAATCGTAGTATGGCGCCCTTAATCCTATAAAATGCCTTTAATTTTTTTCTTAAAAATAAAATGCAAGGTAAAGTTACATGCAGTCAATTCTCATCCCTATCGGAATCTTGTGTATTTTTAACAAATTAAAATTGTTCCATGCTTATTGAAAGCCAGTGGCCAATGAATGGCCCAATAAATTCAATTAGGAGATTTAACAAAATAGAGTTAGTTATTGTTTCTAAGAAACTTGTAATAAGTCACTTAGCAGTGGACCAATCTATAAATAAAGATTGAGTCTCACTTTGTAAATCATCAAGTCATTTTTACAATCAAAAGAAAGAGAATAGAATCCTTTTCTCTCTGTCATCTTCTTCCCCTTCTTGTTACTTTCTTTCTTTCTCTTCTTGATGTTGATACCTTTTATGGTATCAGAGCTTCTTGATCCATGTAGACAAACAGATCTGCGCTAAACTCTATCCATACCTTTTCTAATCCAGTCTCTTTCAAACTGGATGAAGACAATTTTTTGCCCTGCAAACAGTAAGCTCTAACCACAATTAAAGGCTATGACTTAACCAAATTCATCACACAAGAAATTCAAGATATTGTACCTGCTGGAGTAAATTCCACTGGAGAAAATGCAGAAGGTAGTTCCATCCTCAGATATTCAGAAAGCACACAATGCTCAACAAGACCAGCTGCTTCTGTCACGGTTGCTAGCATCCATGTCAAAATCAATATACACACGTATGGTTGGTTGTTCGAATTCATTCCAAGTTTGGAGCAAACTTGAAGAATTTTTTTCATCACAAACACGAGCAAAGGTCAAGCAACTCAAATTACAACTAAAGAACACCAAGAAAGAAGGTGAAGTATCCAAATACTTACTACAGATCAAGAAAATTGTAGATTCCCTAGCTTCCTGTGGTTCACCAGCTAATTTAGAGGATCACATTGATGCTATCTTGTGATAGCTGGAAATGGCCTTGAAGGCCGATGCATGCTGGAGGGAAAAACAAAACTTTTTCATTGCGGAACACACATGCATTCAAGATCATGCTTTAGGAAAGCATGATGTTACCTTGTTCGTGAAAACTCATGATGATCAAGGTAGGTCTGAAGGGTTCAGACCCTCTAACGTTGATCCACACCACCCACTGCGTCTAGGTGCAAGAACTCCTTCTTGTGAAACCGCCAAGTGATCACTACAATGAGGCTTGCTAAGCGCACACTGTGTGAAGAGAAAGGCTAGGTAAAAGTGTTTGAAAGAGTGAAGCTTTCAATGTGAAATCTTCACAAAAGTGGCGCAGGAGAGGAGAAGAGAATGACTTGGTTGGTTTTCTAAAAACCCTAGAAGGAACATATATAAAGAGGCGCACAAGAGGAGCCTATTTGTTAAAAACAAATCAGATTTTTAATCAATAAAAATCCCTTCCAAAAGGGCGCTCTATCAAATAGAGAGAGAATATGATTTGTTGCAAATCAAATCTCATCAAATCTTGCCAACAACATCCTATCATATCTTTATGATATATTAGGTTCAAAACCTAATCAAATATCTGATCATAAATCATCATATAATCAGTTATATGGTGCGCCCCATATAGCCTAAATAATGACCATATACATTTGAGTAGTTGCATTCAAACTTGAATCAAATCACTCAAATATTCTCCCAACAGATCGTATCTTCTGGAGCTGATTCTGATGACTAACCAACAGCCAAATCAGCACCTCAAATCTTCTTAGATTATGTCCAAAAGATTTCCTCTTGATATGTTCCAACAAGATCTCATCTTATCCTTTTGTTATGAAACAACTTTTCATAGCCAATTCAAATTCGAATTTCAAACATTTGAATTCAAACTTTCAAACACTTAAATTTTAAATTCAAATTCAAATTCTAAATTCAAATTCAAATTTCAAAATTCAAATTTCAAATTTCAAATTTCAAAATTCTAAATTCAAATTTCAAA